AAGCTCAAATCAACAAACCCAAATCCTTTGTTTTCTGGTTTTTTTTTCCTTTGTTTATACAACAATATGAAGAGAGGTGGACAACCAAAGCAGACAGAGTTGCAGGCTGCAGAAGTCACTCACCTCTCTCTGAGAGCCAGCAAGAGTCTTTGAGTTATATAAACATATACAAAAGCAAAAACCCAATGTAAAAGACAAAGGAGAAGGCTAGGCTATATTGGCTGGCTTCATATTCTTTCTCTTTTTTTCTTTTTTTGTTTTTCCTTTTTTGCTTTTGCTGTCTCTCTCAGCAACCAGCATGTTACCCTCATGGCCTTCCCCTCCATTACAATTAATAGATATCAATCTTACAATTATTGACCTCTTAGTAAGTGGGCTTGATAGGATTTACCTCCCTTCCCCTTTCTCAATCTTATTTCCACTTTGGTAAATTTTGTTTTAGTAACAAGAAAAACTTCACGATTCACTCCATTTAATTTGCGATTCTGAATACATGTAATCAGAATCAAGAGTTTTTATACGGAGTTCTAAGTAAAGTTTCATTCATTTTTGTTCAAAGAGAAAAAAAAGTTTGAACGTGTCCTATATAGGGATGGTAAAGGGTCGGGTAGGGGCCGGGTATGACAATTGTTTATCCAAAGGGCTTCCGATGCCTGTGTTTGTAGGAAAACAATAACTAAGCAAAGGGTACGGAGTTGTATGTATGGTGCGAATCGGGCGGCCGGAGCCGTGTGTGCTAGCCGGAGCCTGGAGAAAATATGGAGAGTGGAAAGTGGAGAGGGAGAGAGAGCTTCAGGTATTTTTCTCGTAGGAGTAGGTTTTTTGAAGTCGTCCCTTGAATGATGAATGAAATCATCTATTTATAGGAGCCTCGGGGCTAGGGTTTCGTAGAGATTGAGTCGGACTTGATTATATCCCTTTATTTAGATAATATCTAAATTAATGATATTATCTCATTAATTATAAGATAATATCCTATAATTAAGATATTATCCCCTTATTAGGATAATATCCCAATTAATGATATTATCTTATTAAATAAAGATAATATCTTATAATTAAGATATTATCCATATTAATTAATTAACCAAATAAATTGGTTTAATTAATTAATTTAAGGGATAATCTTCTTTTCCACGTAGCGTGCTGTGATTGGAGACAAAAATATTTGCTCCCACAGCAATATCATCCCCGTACCCGCTCTCCATTCCCGCCCCCATCCCTGAACCCATCCCCGTTTAATAGGTTTCGGGGAAACCCCTTCCCCGTCTCCATCGGGGGACTATCCCCTATACCCACCCCCGAATTCCCGATTTTTTTTTGCATAAAAAAATATTTATCATACATTTTAACATTAAGTTTCATATTAAATTATCATTCGAACACATTCAAATGAACTATAAAGCTCAATTCAACTATTCAAAATCACATCAATATGAAATCCTAGAGAAGATTAGGAAGAATTAGGAGAGAAAGGTTAACTTAGGATTAAACATAAATATTATAATTATTTATTTATTTATTTAAATAAAAACATATATATTTTCGGGCTGGATTTGGGGATGGGAATGCCAATACCATCCCCGCCCCATACCCATTGATGATTTTTCAAGTTCGGGGATCCTCATACCCAATACCCGTTTTGCCCTGAAATCTCTTCCCATTAGGGTCGGAGACTCGGCCTCGTAGGGATTTCTGCCATCCCTAGTCCTATAGAAATAGCCGGCTCGGTTTTGTTTTGAGAGTTACTAAGATAGGATGGAGTAATTTTTACTTGACTGGATTGTTCTAATTTATGTGGATTTTTTGTCTCCAAATTTTTCACTCGAATAATTTAAAGTGATTTTTATACTTACCTCATCTAAATGTTTCCTCTTTTCCCAACGTTTTACACCCTCAAACTTTCTTTTTAACTGTTTCAGCTTTTTCTTTTACCAAAGCATAATAACATTTATTTAAATAAAAGTGAATTTGTTAATTAAATGCGAGTGTAAGCATGATTAAAGGAGACACTCCAGAATTTGCCTTTACGTGTCCCTGTGCTTTGCCAAATGCTTACTCACGCGTTTAATTCATTATTATTTTTATTTTTTGGGTTGAATTGAGGCAATGCAACATGCATGGACAGACAGATGCCAGAAAAATTATAATGAAACACACAATTTGTACGAAAGTGAGAAATTGGAAGCTACCTACGAACTCTCTCTTCTGTTTCGAAATTCTCGTCCACAATCCCCAAAAGTCTCGAATTTTTTTATTTCTCCTCGTTTCGTTTGACCCGGCACCATGTTTTTGAGGGCCCTAAAAATATCTGGCAGCTTTGCAATATCAGTTGGAAATCATTCCCATCGTCAACAAAGTCTTCAATTTTAGTATTTTAACAACACAACTATGCATGTTTGACTCCGCGTCTTATTATTTCTCTTTTTTTTTTTTCTTCACTATCAAGGAGACTTCCATTGAGGGGGAGAGGAATAATAGAGTCAATTAGGCATTCGGCCGTTGGAGTCTAGTTCAATGAGAAAGGAGTTTTGATTTGCAGGCTAATAATGTCAAGTGTGTTCGAGAAACCTCATCTTTCTTTCTAACTTTGGTAACAGAAAAAAACGACATGCAAATGTGGTCACATACATCACAACGAAACAGCGAGTTTGATTCGGCTCGTTGTTTCGAAGTAATTTAGACGCATTCGTCATAAGCTCAAATTTGCAATAGTGGACGTCACTATTTCTAGACTTATGCATGTCAAGGTGCTACATGATCATCTCTACAGCCTATTCTATGTTTAGGTTCACAATAATTAACATAAGCACATGTTATATAGTTGATTCACCGTAACAAATTATTATTTAAATCACAGCTAATTACAATACATTTGACATCTACACACATGTCAATCGTACACAATAGAATCACCCAAAATGTTAGCTTTTTCCATTGAAACCCAAAATTTGTGCAATATGTGGGGGATGCTTAACAATTATAGGCTTGAAAGCCGGTGAGCTAGATAAAACCCAACCCAATAATCATTTTATAGTGTTTACTTATTTATTTTTAGAATTTTTATTATTAAGAGGGGCGATGATATATTAAACTTATATACACTAGACAGATAATAGGACTTGAATCAAGGATCTTACTTAGGAAAGCAATTGCTACAAACAACTACACTATTGGTGCTTTGCTAACTTTACACTATTTATAAGAATGTGTGAAGCTAGTGAATTATTCAATCAAGGCCGATAAATAAATATTTATTACAAAAAAAACCTGCATTCGATTGGATATCATTTTCATCAGTTTCATTATGAAAAAGAAAATTTTAATTACTCCTATTTATTCACATTTAAAAGCTCTTTTTCAGTATGCAAGCGAAAAAAAATAAAATTGGTGAAGAGTTGATTTGCCAGCCAAACAATTTAGAAAAAAACAAACCACCTTATACGGTTGCCTGTCTTTCCCCTCAATCATTGTGGAGAATTTAGATTGATTTTAGGTGAATTGTTGTATCTGATAAATAAATAAATAAACAAAAAGTGTGAATTGCTGTAAGCCAGAAATATGAGTGCACCGTTTTCAGCAGCCTAGCACCACCGACTCGACCACTTGCCAAATTCGTAGAAAATGATCTCATTTTTTAAGAGCATATTTATGGAATATAGTTTCTAGAAATGCTTTCTTATTTACTACATACACAGAGAATTACACCTATTTTTAAGTATATGTATTACATTTTTTTTGGATTATTTATAGAGTTATTTATACAAAGATCCCCTGAGGTTTTCAATGTTTTTATAAATTTCTTGAGGTTTTAGATATTACACGAACACCCCTTGATGTTTCAAATTGTTTTCACATAACCTAACTCGTTTAAGAAAAAATTTCAAAAGATCAATACTCAATTTAATGGAAAAATACGTAAAACAATACTCTATTACAATATAAATTACTTAGAAAAAGGAAATAAGACTTCATGTCCAATAAAAAAAAATATTATTTGAGTAAAAAAAACAAAAAATCTTTTAGATAAGGATAAAAGAAAAGTCTATTGGCACACACACACGCGTATGGGCGAGACAAAAATCTATTATAAAAATAAGACTTCATGTCCAATAAAAAAAAAAAATTATTTGAGTAAAAAAAACAAAAAATCTTTTAGATAAGGATAAAAGAAAAGTCTATTGGCACACACACGCGTATGGGCGAGACAAAAATCTATTATAAATAAAAGAGAAGGCGGCATTCAAACGTCTATTGCTAATAAAATTACATCACCGACAAGAAATAAGGAGACGCACCCTCTCCCCGAATGCATAAGGCAGCCCGATCCAAATTTGGGCTCTCATTTGTTTGGGCATTAATTGATAGCAACGCACATCCAAAATCAATAAGCCAAGAGAAGATCTTTCTATCATTTCATTTAAGGCAGCCCGATCCAAATTTGGGCTCTCATTTGTTTGGGCATTAATTGATAGCAACGCACATCCAAAATCAATAAGCCAAAAGAAGATCTTTCTATCATTTCATTAAAAAAAAAACAAAAACAAAAAGAGAGAAGATCTTTCAATTTTTCTTGTTTTATGTCATTTGGAATTTGAAAATGCTTTTGTAGGAAACACTTTTGTTCATAAACGCCTTTTTAAGTTCTTCTATTAGAATTTAGAAGAACGTCTAAAAATTTATTATAAATGCATTTAAAGAGTTAGAAATCAAATGCTTCTTTAGAAAACGCTTTTATCAGAAGTGCTTTTAGTTGTCCAAAAACATTTCTAACTCTTTCAAAAGCATTCCCACGAGCTTTTAGTTGTTAAGAAGTGCTTTTAGCACTCATAAACAAACCTTAATTAGAGAAATCCAGTCCAGTACAGCCCACCAAACAGGGCTAAGCCTTTTGTTGAGGTAGTATTAGTCTGAAAATGCGTAACCAATACCAAAATATTCCTTTCATTATTATTATTAATTTTTATTTACCCACAAGTCAAATGAAATAGCAAAAGTAATAAATTAATAATGAAGCTACTTTGTCATATGCCACACAACACATTTCATGTCTGCCATCAAAACGTTTATGTTGTTTACTAACAAATTCTAGCAATGTAGGAACCATAAAGGGCAAAAGATAAGATGGACAAAGCATAAAGTTGTGGTGCTGATTACATCTCCTCACGCTGCTGCTGATCCAAGCCACAGATTGGATCCAAAATCCCAAACCGACATACGCCTAACATCCCAGAACTGCAGCATATGCCTCCATGACTTTTATGAAATTACAGGAAGGCATCCTTCTCGAGCAACTTTAGCACATCGTTTTGGCTGTTCAGCTTCGCAACGTCGATCGGAGTCTTTCCATCCATGTTCTGGAGAGTGCTGGAGATGCCAAAAACGAAACGATTTAAGTACTAATAAGCATAATAGAACGGCACACAATTAAAAGATTAAGGAACAAATGTGTCTCTTACACAGCGGCGCCATTCTCTAATAGAAGAGCCACGCATTCCTTCCTGCCATAACCGGCTGCATAATGAAGCGCAGTGTTCTTGTTCTTATCCAGAGCATCCACTCTTGCTCCAGCCTCAAGAAGTACTTGAGCACACTTCACCTGCAATGAAATGAAATGATAGTATCTAAATACCTCCATATATCAAAAGCAGAAAACCATTTCTAGAACTCTATCACCCCGACTCCTTTTTATTCATGCATGCATTTCTTCCAAAAATTGGTTTCGCAGTACCTCGTATTGGAACTGCACGACTACCCCATATGCACGGAAGGTCCATCATCACCCAATGATAACAATTATTGGCTTTGCAGATATAAGTGAGTAAAATGACAGGGGAAGCTACACTTATAAAGATTATCATACCTCACCATATCCACAAGCAAAATGCAGTGCTGTTCTTCCCTCTGAATCTTCCTCATCCTTGTCAGCACCGGAGGTTAGCGCACTTTTCAAACCCTAATTGACAGAGTGAAAACATAAACACTTGCACATCTGATAACTTGGACCAAACACGTACAAAATATACAAATTAAAGTTTACCAGGGAGGCATATTTCCTGATATAGAATTTTAAAGTAATAAGAATAACGCATATCTGAAAATTCAAACTCCTACAACAAAACTAATAGGCCTAATTAACATGAAAAGCTTGCGGTAGAAAAACATGAGTTTGAAAGAAAAGTTTTAAACAATATAATGTAACTCTTTACCAGGGTACCACAATACTATCCAGGAAAGATGATTGATTCTCCAGATTCGAGAGTATTATGGTACCCTGGTAAAGATTTGCAAATAATTTTCTGACTTCAATTAAAAGAACGACATTTTCCATTAATCATAATCATTTTTCAATTGCAGAATTTCTTATTAACAATTAGAACCAACCAAATGGCACATGAAGAGGATAGGATCAGATAATGGTTTGTTCTACCTCCACATCACCAACACTAGCAGTGTGATGAACGATTGATTCATCCTCATTTCCAGCATCTTCTACTTCTTCTGGTCCAGAATTGTCTGCAGAAGTAGCTGCATCTCCAGTAACTGCAAGACCCATTGCTTCTCCCAACTTCTGCAAAACCTCTTTATCATTCCAGTATCTGAAACAGCAGAATTTCCTCGTTAGCTCAACCAAAGTCCACAATCAGTTAAACTAAACCCCAATACCATGTGCCAAGATGGAAAAAGTTATAGCTCAACCATCCTAAAAAAAAAACTAGCTTTACTTACCTCATCATGGCAGCTGGACCACCAGTCTCTATCTCTTCTAAAATAGGCTTCAAAGAAGGATCTTCTTTGATACGTGACATACGTTCCTCAAGCTGATCTTTGTTTGTTGGATTTGCGAAACTCTCGAGCATGGTATTCATAGATGGATCCTGGGGTAGCAAAATTAATAAGATTGAAATTCTACCAACCAGGCAACTTCCTTGTATAACACGACGAATAAAACAAGAATGCATACCTGCATCAATGCATTACCGAGGCGCTCAGCCATGGTCATGAATTGAGGATTCTGCATAACCTGTTGCATGGTGGAATAATATTGTTGGCTATCAAACTGAGGGACACCCTCGTCAATTGTTGCACCTTGAAAAGTTTTCTGAAGTTGGTCTGCCATCTGGTTGAATGAAGGATCTTTTGCTATCTGTTCAGCTAGTTCCTTAATGCTTGGATCCTGTGCATATCACATATAGGACAGTTGTTAGCAAAAACCAGAGACTGACTGAACTTCAGAACTCATACTCTCAACTTATGAGAACAAAAATAAAATAACATATAAATATAACACCAAAAAGAAAGTGTAAGGTACAAGAGTAATTGAGGGGACCAAAATTTAAAAAATTCCATTTTGACTAGCCTCTTGAATTTTGGACAAAATTTTAATACTTTTTCCTCATCATCAAATTTGGCTCACCCAGACATGAAGGCTTTTCATGCCATTGGACCCAGGGTTGGCACACCAACACCCAATTTACCATCGAGGCATGATGTCTGCCAGCATCCAGCTTACCCCCATTCTATACACAATTCAATTTTTTTCGGGGGGAAAGCCCATGTGCAGTGGGGGAGGATGAGGGAGAGTTTAATAAATATATATTGTTTACTACTAATTGATCAAAAGAAACTTCTGTCCCACGAAAATTTATTCTTCATATGTAATGCAAAGAAAGGACTCCCTTTACTTCATTCCCAACTCAGTCATTCAAATGTTTTTAAAACTCAAAGGGGCAATAAAAGTGTGACATACATTCAGCAAGCCAGTCATGGCAGAGAAATCAAAAGGATTGGGAGCAGCAAATCCGGCTTCTGGAAGTTGGAAAGGGGCAGCTCTTGTTTGTCCTGACTGTGAATCTCCAGATGAAGTTTCAGACTTAGGACTTTTGACCTCTGTTTCAGATTTGGAGGTTTTGTTCTCTGTTGAAACTGGCTTTTCGCCTGGGAAAGATAAGATAAACATGAGAACCGCATACTCAAAATCTTAAAGTCCATGTATTTGACACCATTTTCATCCAGTCGAGATGAAACAATTATCTAACCAACCAATTATCAAGCTCCACTATAACAAAACACAGTAAATTAAAATGAAACCAATTTACTTGTACTGTGTTAAGAACAGGCATAACCCCGAATCATAGAGTTTAAATATTCCTCCAGATTTTTAACAACAGGATAAGGATAACTACAGTATATTCTATGACAATAATCACTTTCATGAAGCGAAATATAGGCATCAGTACAACAAAACCCTCAATTTCCCCTACGCAAGTGAGAAACATGAAACCATACAAATTGCATCACCATTCAACTCTACCCTCGGAGCTATAAATCTGAATCAAAAACCAATTCATATAATTTCCTCCACTAGGCTACTGTAGGAAGCATCCTTTGATCAAAACTTGAAAATCAAAACAAATTAAACACTAAACTCTCCAAGCTTTTTCTATAACCTAAAAAAAAGGTAAAAGAAGAGCTCTCTCTATTAACCCCTAAGCCCAATCCCACTCCCACTGTTCTACATCCAATCCCAATCCAGCTCCTATATAGATAGGTTCCAGATCAATCAAACTCGGCAGAATTACAGAAATCCAGCTAAACTTGAATTGCTAATTCAAATCAATACACAACCAATACAATTAGCAGTGTGACTCAACGTAGCAGCATACCAGCCGCAGGCAAATCCTTTTGCGCAGAAGCCATTGGAGCACCTAAATCGACCAAGAAACAGAGCAATAACCAATCAGAAACCAATCGAAGATCAAAACTGAAACTACATAAATACACAAAAATGTATACAAGCGATTGGGGCAAGTGTGAATTTTCGAACCCGATCCTGATGCGATGTGGTAGATTGAAGTGGAAGAGTGAAGCAGAGGAGGTCCTTCGGAGCACGCAAAGAAGCGAATACTTCCGAGACTTGAAGAAGATAGAGAGAGAGATCCTCGCTCGCTTCGCTTGCTATGGCGATTTCACAACCCTATTGAGCTTTTGACTATTGTGAAAAATGAATTTTGGCGAGTTTATAGTTTTTATATATTATATATATGTATATATATCTTCAAGTAATCTATATATCTATCTATCAGCTGCTCACCACCGATGTCTGTACACCACTCAGTGGGCCATCTCAATCCTCATCTTCCCAATTCCCAAATGAATGGCTCTTGCCATAAGACCAAAATAATTACTCTTTTGCCTTGGGCTTGTACAAGCAAATAATGACCCACTGTGTTAGCCCAATTTTTGGGGACTTGGGCTAAAGAAAGTACAAAAGAATGTGCATTGCTAGGTAAAAGAACATACACCCTGTTTGTTCCTTTTCTTTTCGTCACGTGACTAAGGTCTTGTTTCGGATTACTTCTCTAGGAAGTACTTCTATTTATAAGCATTTTTTATTATAAAGATATTACAAAATTTATAAGAAATCCAAGTGTTTCATGGAGAAGCACATATCCAAAAAACTCTTCTATGACCTATTAAGTAGGGGTGGGCATGGTACGGTATGGTACGGTATTGAGCTCGTACCGCTATCGATACCGGAAATTAAAACCGGTATGGTACGATATGAGATTATCGTTTGCCAAAGTTGGTACCGTACCATACTGTGCCAAATGGGTATCGGTACGGTATCGGTACCAAAATGACACAACTAAAAAATGAACCAATTTAGTATTCAACATAATCATTCACCAAAATAAGTGATGCCTAAGTTACAGATTCAAAGATTCAACATACTCAATATCCAAATCCTAATCAACATATTCAATATCCAAATCAACCAAATCAATATCCATCAACAGATTCATCAAATCCAAATGGTTAAAACTCATGCCTTATGGCTTACACACCAAAACAGTTAAAATTATGCCTTACATACCCAATAACAAAGCTCAGTCAATTTTTAACAAAGGATTCTCTATATTATTATTGTTTTTTATATGCTAATACAGTGATGATGCCAAAACCGTCACGTATGACTAGTCAATGAAAGAAACCATATAGATGATGCATACATGGAAATTTAAGAACAAAATAATGAAGATACTGATCTTCAAACTAACAGAACCCAGAGGCCACTCTGAAAACTATTCTAGGGTAGAATAATACTGTTTTGAAATTTAATACAGGAGGTTCTTGTTTGTATCCCACTGAAAAAAGTTAATGGAATTCAGGTCCTGGTTACAGAAAAGCTTTTATATGTTTCTATTTGAAACAACTTTTAATTATCAAATGAATCAAAGAAAAAGGCTCTATGAACATACACACAAAGGCTATCAAAATATAGAAAAAGCAAGAAATCAACAACACATCACAAATGGCATAATCCAGAATCAACAACACAACACAAATACTTATATTTCAATATGAAAAAAAATTTATATTTTAGTATTCGGTACGGTACGGTATGGACCGGTACCAAATACTTGATACCGCTACCATACCATACTCTATTGGTACAGTACGGTACCGAATATCTTCCCATCCTAAATGAAACGGTATAAAATCAGTATAGTACGGTATGGTTAGTGTACGGTTTCAGTATTTCGGTTTTAGATGCCCACCCCTACCATTAAGTACTTCTAAACTTTTGATTGTCAGAAAGTGATTTTAGCCCTTCCAGAATCACTCCTAATCATACGGGGATGGAACAAGATTTATATCACAATTATAGAAAAGTTCTCATTCATGTTGGGATCATCAAATAATATATTAGTAAGCAAAGGAAAAGCTAGACGACTAACTATGTATTGCAGGTCGCCCAACATCTCACATCTCGCGATCCAACATTTGAATGTGACTCAATATTTTACTTGCAAACATACGTGTCAAATAATGTGTAAGTTTTGATAATCATTTAGCTTTTTAATGAGGGAGAAAAGCCTCAATAAAATCGTTTTTTTTTCTTTTATCTTGTACGTTTGTAGGTCGCCAAAATAGCTACGATTGAGGTTGAAATGGAAAAAGATGCTATCATCCTAAACCCAAAGTTTTAAGTTTTCTTGTTCACTCAAAAAGGTTGAAGCTTTATTACAAGTTGGCAAAATACCTTGCTTTGCAGCCATAAGGAAGAAAGGTATATCTACTATGAGAATTCTTGCCAAATAGTTTGTGTACAACTAGGGATTGTTTAGGCCAACAAGGAAAATTTGTGTCACACTAAGTAAGTTCTTACCTTACATCATCTTGTTACACCATACAAACATTGCTTAAGGTTACTTGGGCTCATGGCACTCAAGAATTTAATTAGTAATTTAGTATACCTATCATCCAAAAAAAGTTGAGAAATTTCCCATTACCCCCCTTTATGTATTGATCAATAAGAAAAGAACTAACATGATAATGGTTGGCACCCCCCTTTGACATACGTCATTGGAAACATTCAGAAATTCCCTTTTGAAAAAAATTATTTTTTATTTTGCTAAGAGTTGCCTTCTGAAAAATTAGAATGATGAATATGGTAAACTATTCAAAATACAAATGAAATTCAAGGTTCCATCAATAAAAGGAAAATACTTTTCTTTTGCTTGTGTCAATAGCAATGTGACATGTGTGCATAAGTTTTTCTTTTTATATTTTTTATGAATTATTTTTGTATATGTGTCAAAATGTGATTCGCATAAAGGAGGAATATCTCCTTACAGGGAAGTAGATAAGCAGTATCCTTAATTATAAAAAATTAAATAAATAGTTCAAGGCAGGCCAGAACCAGCCCAAGTCTTCCAGCCCATGTATATTGTTTGGGTCTAAGAACTTGTCATCTCTCACAAAGTCTCCGGTTTCATATGACAAGCCGGCAAATCCCTTGACCAGGTAAGAACAGAATTTACGAATATCCCAAAGAAAAGAGACAACTTGGGTCTGGTATTGGCAACAATTATTTCAATGAATCGGAGGAAAGTTGGGTCTGATCTTGGGTGAGTGAGGATGTCCCAAGCTGAAGTGTCCTACAGGTAATTTTCCAATTCCATTGTTCTGAATCTGAATCTGTTGTCATTTCATTTCTTCACCCAATTTGAATCCTTTGTCAAAGTTTCATGTTAATCTTCTCACTCTAGTAACTTTTGTTTTCAAAGGTGGGGACTTGGGATGAACCCAAAAAGTTACTTGCATTCATTTGTGATGAAGATGAAGGTTTGACCTTTCATCAGTCTAATCTCATTGGGTCATTGGGTGTTTCCCAAAACTTGATTCTAGTACTTTATAAAGTACCTTTAAATAAAGTCTAAATGCACCTTGTGTAGTAAAATTGAACATTGCCCAAATGTGCATGATCTGCTATCTTTAATTTGTTTTAATGGGTGCCAGAACTTGATTGTTTTACTGAAATTGGTTCTTTTGTTTTTGTTTTTTGAATTCATTACAGTTGTGGGTCTTGTGCATACCCTCTGAACTTGTCATCTTCAAATCGTTTGACCTCTGGTTCTGGCATAGGCTCTGAGTATCAAAAGTCCGTCAAGAAAGGTTTTATTTCATTCCTCACAGTTGATCTTAGTCGGTTCACGCAGGTTGATGAGGTAAACTGTTTTCCTGTCTCTTGGGGTCGTTATCGTTCAAAGACTAAACTCCTCTGCCGTAAATGTGGGGTTCATATTGGTTATGGTTATGGAGACTCTTCTGCTCTTTGTGGTTTTGACTCTCCCAACTCATCTACTTCAGCTTACAGAAAGTTCACTGTAAAAATACGAGCTCTACAGCCTTCTGAAGAGTGCTAAGATGCAACCTACTTGTAGTTCTAGTACTAATGCTCTTACTTCCATCATGGACCTCCCTGATGATTGTCTCGTTTTTATTTTCCAATGCCTTGATTCTAGCTCTGACCGCGAATCCTTTGGCTTGACTTGTCATCGCTGTCTTTGTATTCAAAATCTTAGCCGTCGGTCCTTACATTTTCCATGTTCATTCAGACAGCTTGACATTTCCTCATTATCACATTCGAATAACCATGTTAACATCAGCACCTATCATCTCCATAGGCTGCTTACTCGCTTTCAGCATTTACACTTATTGTCCTTATCTGGCTGTACAGAGCTACCTGATTCAAGCTTGGACCATTTGGTAAATTATGGGTCAAAGTTGCACACCCTTAATATGGAGTGTTGTTTTCGTATTACTGATCATGGGTTGTCTGTGGTAGCTACTGGTTGCCCATCATTACAAGTGATCAGCCTTTACCGTTGCCAAATTTCTGATTCTGGGTTAGAAAGTTTGGCTAATTCTTGCTCAATTTTAAAGGATGTGAATCTCTCGTACTGCTATTTTATTTCTGATCATGGGTTAAGAGCTCTTTCACAAGGCTGTCGTCAACTTCAGGCAGTTAAGATATCACATTGTAAGGGCGTAACTGGTATTGGCTTTAAAGGTTGTTCATCAACTTTAGCTTATGTAGAAGCTGAATCATGTAAGCTTGAGCCAGAGGGCATTTCGGGAATTGTAAGTGGAGGTGGGATTGAATGTTTAAATATATCCGGTTTAATCTTGTTCAATGATGGAAATGGTTTGGCAACAATTGGGAGGGGATTTGCCTTCAGCCTTAAAATTCTTAACCTTCGGCTGTGCAGAACTGTTGGCGATGAGTCTATTGTAGCAATTGCAGAAGGTTGTCCGCTACTTGAGGAATGGAACTTGGCGTTGTGTCACGGGGTCAGGATAGTTGGTTGGTCTTCTATTGGGATGAATTGTCACAAATTGGAGAAACTCCATGTGAACCGGTGTCAGAGTCTATGTGATGATGGGTTACTGGCTTTGCGAAATGGTTGCAAACAGCTCTCTGTTCTGTACATGAACGGTTGTTCTAGGATTACTTCAACAGCAATAGAGTTGTTCAAATGTTATAGGAGTGATGTTACCATCAAGGAAGAAGAAAAAATGTGTATAGGGGCCTATGTGGGCATTTAGATTATATTGGACGAAAAGAAATTTGACTTATTTGACATGAAAATGTCTGTGATATCCTTAAAGGAGTTGTAATTTTTCTAAATATTTATTGAATTGATGATGAAATTAATTTTACAGTACAGTGTTCGGAGGATCGATAAGTATTTCATTGCTTCGACGTAATGAATTTCATATGGATTATTAGTGAAATCAATCTTTGAATGACACAACCACACAAGAAACTATTGTGTTTCTTATTTTACTGAGGCAAAATCCATTCTTGTAAACAAATTTGAATGATACAACCACACCAGAAACATATGTTATGATGACAATGTAAGGACAATGTCGACGATGTTGATGAAAAATTAACCATTTTGGATTCGGAAAATAATTTCCACTGGAACAATATTGCTCCAGCTGCTGTTCAAGATCATACTGAAGTTGTGAAGAAAACATCTGTGTGGCTAAGGGCTGATTCAATTACATATTATTGCTGTTTTTCAAGAAGATGAGTAGAAGTTGCTCAGAGTCCCTTCATCCAGACCAATCTCTCCATTCAATTTTTTGAGGTCTTGTGTGACCAAACAAATCTTTTCAGATCTTGAATCTCTTTTTGAGTCTCATCCATCAAGGCTGTCAGCAAACATGAAAAATATTAGTCTCTGATCCTTAGCTGTGAACTAAATTCATTGTCAAGAAACTTATTTTCAAGTTGAATAATTAGGCTGTGATTCTGCAATATTATAGTCCTTACTGTCTTGCAATCGAATTTGCTGCACAACATGGTGCAGGCATTGCTTCAGTCTCTTGTTGTCTGCATGTATGTAAAGGGCATCTGTCTGCTCAATAAACGAGGTCTTGTGTGACCAAACAAATCTTTTCAGATCTTGAATCTCTTTTTGAGTCTCATCCATCAAGGCTGTCAGCAAACATGAAAAATATTAGTCTCTGATCCTTAGCTGTGAACTAAATTCATTGTCAAGAAACTTATTTTCAAGTTGAATAATTAGGCTGTGATTCTGCAATATTATAGTCCTTACTGTCTTGCAATCGAATTTGCTGCACAACATGTTGCAGGCATTGCTTCAGTCTCTTGTTGTCTGCATGTATGTAAAGGGCATCTGTCTGCTCAATAAAGAAACACAAAACCAAAAAAGTTAATGGTCATTATTACTTACTAAGTTTCTCCTTTGAAGGGTGCCAATGATGTTGATTTACCAGCCATAGATTCAGCCGAGCAGACAGAGCAGCCGCTTCACAGTACAACCTTTCCAAGTTATATTCGAGCGCACTAACGTACATCTTCTTCCTCTGCTTTGCCTTCATAGCTGACCTCCTGTTCGTCATAATCCTGCCACATTTTTCAAGCCATTTTGCATTTGCTTAAAGGGTTCATTACCGGCGTTTCGAAGAACAATGTGTTTCAACATTACAGATCATCGAAAACTATACCTCTTCGCTCGATTTGGATCGTGTTGTGCCATGTCTGTAAGAACTGCATTAGGGTTTTTCGTCATGCTGGTGATTGAGCTAGCACTGTGATTTTTAGGGGGAGTTGAATCAGCCATAGTGCTAATGCAATAGAGTTTTTACCACACCAGAAACAGTCAATACATGTAAGTTTGATAGGAAGGAAACAAGAGAAGATAAGAGGAAAACGAAAATGTGTTGTAAGAAAATGATGTGGAAACTTGGGTGTGTGACAACCTTATTATATACTGTCAGGCTGGTGACAGTTCAAAATTATTGGATTTATTTCCATAACAAGGGGTTTAAAAATGGCATGGAAGCTTGTAGAATGGTTAAGAATCTGATTTTATGTGTATTTATGTTTAGGTTTGGAATCCAGAGTGATTCTAAAGGTACGAAAAGTTCTATTAAAGTTTATTCGAGTACATACACCGTGACACACAATTAATAAAAGTTCACTTACAATGCATAGACCGAACAATAGTCGTTTTAATGTGCTAGAAATTTACGTGTCTTGAAAAGTGTGTGTGGATAAAAGAATGATGGATTCCTAACATTTAATAGCTTAAATGTAAGTGAAACGGAAAAGGGCTCGTAACTTAAGTGGTAAGCATTTACCCTTGCATATGAAGTCGTGGGTTCGATTCACCCCTCTCCCAATATTGCTTATATAAAAAAATAAAAATAGTATGTGGTATTCCCCAAATAACCCTTGATGGAATACTTCAACATACATTGAATCTTACCTTTTGTTTTTTCCTTTCCAAAATACATATTATATCTTATTCTTTTAAAAAAAAATGCATAGTATCTAATTTATTCGGTGTCTATTGTACACATTATACCACATGGATATGACCAAATTGCCCAATCTAAACACAAAATAGAAAGGTATATGTGACTAAATCACGTAATAAAAATGCTAGTTTTACTTTCTTTGTCATTTGGAATGGGGATTAGAAGATATAGAAGATATTTATTTATGCTAATCACTCGTTGTTAATCATCTTATAAAGTTATTTTAATATGAAAAAAGAAAAATACCGAATCGAATGGTTCGAATTAGTTTGATTTAGCCGGTTTGAACAGTTGGGACATTTTTGTGCCCACCCTAGTTAAACTGCAATAATAAAAATTTGTGAAAGGCAATATACATAATGATGTGTATCACTTCAAATTCACTATTATGCTAATCAACAAGAAAGTTTTCAATTAGCGATGCTAATTAATAATTAAATAAGAGAGAGTACCCCACAAACACTCATTATTTTTTAAACCACAATCTTAACTCAAAAATAACAGCAGTAACAACTAAAATAGCAAGAACAGCTCCATAGCCAGCATTCCATGCCTTTCCTTTTTCTCCTAAATGAATTCCATAGAAAACATTTGCTATTGCCAAAATGAGGAGAATCCTCCCTACGCCTTGATGGTACCAATTCCAGTATTTTCGTGCTTTGGACTCCTTCTCTGGTCGAACCAAAAGGGCCATCACCTGTAATCAACAAACATCAAACCATCTAATGGTGTTACGGTCACACATAAAAATTTCTCGAAATTTTGTCTTTCATAGTGACACTAGTCTATTCATACCACGTCAGCATGACAACGGGGTATGGCCCGGAAGTAGATGTAATGAGGAAAAGGATGAAAACAAGAAAGAATGAGGACAAACCTGAAGACATCCAAGCACAAGAATGATGATACCAAGAGCTTTGTGGGTGGAGACATCAGCATTGAGCTTATTGTTTAAGACAAATCCGCATACAACACCTATTATTCCGAATATAAACCCAAATGATTGAATGCAAGTATGGAGATAAAACCAAAGTGGATCATATGGCTTTAAGTAACGGGCAACTATTACTCCAATTATCATCAAAATGCCCCATCCTAGCATGTTCAGCACTCCATGGCTCTTCCTCAGTTTTGAATATGGACTTTGTGAGCTCGATGTGCTTTGACCTGTGGAGAGAAGAACTATTTAGTTAATAATGTCTTGCCAGACTTATGTTGTTAAATAAATATTGAACACAAACAAGACGGCGCTCTATGTTGTCAAACTATCAATCTAGATCTCTAATCAAATTAATTCTTATCAGAACGTGTGGTTTAAAACTCACAAAAAACGTAGGTCTAGCAAGATAAATTACAATGCCTCTATATATCCAAACCTACCTATATAGCTTTCACATCACAATCGATTTGAATTATAGGACAAGGTTGGTGGTAGTGGTACAAATACATCATATGAAATTATTCAAGGGGTCCATGATCACTTAATTGATTCCATATAAAACAAATTCCAAACCGATTTTTGAGTTTAATAGGACCACAAAATGAGCCAAGAAGCAGATAGCCAGTTACTTTCAATGTTCCACCAATCAAACCTAAAGCCTGTTGTTAGGGTCAGCATCACAAATCCCACAACTCCTCATGTCACCAAGAAGGAAAAAAAAAAAAAAACTTTTCTTTTGTTTGGTTGATACAAGCGGATATTAGAGAAGGAGTATCGAAACTTAGGGCGTTGAGTGCATGGTAAATTCTCCTTAATTAACATGGGTTGGGTTGAGATGATGTAACTCACCTGTGATATAATTTATGGAGGTAGAGACCTTGTCACTGTGCTCCATCAACCTGTAGTTTGGTGCCACAGGCAGAAATCCATCTCGCCCAAAAGAGTATAGGAGCCTTTTCTGTGGTTGGTTGGTCTCCAACTGGAAGACAAGGTACATACGAGAGGACTGAGATGTAATTAAAGAGAAGTTGCTAGCAACCTGAAGGTTCCCTTTGTTAGGCTCCACAAGGTTTGCTGTAGTCCCACCCAAGAAATATTGTTTGATCGTGCTTTCTGTTGAGGACACCCACCCCACAATTGCACTGGACCCCACCATCTGTCCATTGCTTGAGAACCCAATTGCTATGAATGAGTTTACAACTGGTGTTGAGAGGACAAAGGTCCATATGTTTGATGAGGTCTGTGAGTACTGCAGAAAAAAAAATGGAGATTTTCCATTAGACCACCTTGATGATCACGATTACTGTTGTAATTAAGGGTCTGTTATAAAGTGATTATATGGAAAGATTCTCCATAGAAGTGATTATTGGCTTATCCAGAATCACTATCAAATGAGCCTAAGATGAATATGCAGATTATATGTGTTAATCATGGAAGCTAGAGGATGTGGTTGACTTACTCTGAGGATGTAATTGTGAGCATCCCAAACAGAAAGGCAGTGGAGGGAAGCTGCATCAAAGGGCAAATTGAAATTCTGCAGATTGAGACTTGAGCTGCAAGAATCTGTCTGTGAATTCACTTTGGCTGATAAGCCAAAGATGGTGGTGATGATGAGGATGAAAATTATGAATTGGGTTGTCTTCATCTCTCTCTCTCTCTCTCTCTCTTTCTCTCTGGTTTTCTCTCTCTGTTTGTAGAGAGGTGGGATAAAACAGGCCAAGTAGTGGGTGATGGATTTAATATTTCAATATATGTCACCTGGAAGAAGTTGACAATGATCATTATTCTAATGGAGTTGATAAATAATTGAAAGCTATTGCTATGCTTTGTGCGCAGAGAATTATTATTGTAATACAAAAGGTTAACTTATATGAAATATATTCATTAGGTAAGCCGCATGACCAAGCATTGTTGTACTGCTATAGAAAACTACTACTTTCCAAGCTTGTCAGCTCATATTTGTGACATATGGAAGAATGGGTTTGTTCAAAGCTTATAACAAGTCATATTTCACCCATTTGTCCCAGCGTCAGCATTTACGCAAGGGAAAGCCATCTAAGCATAACCCAAAAAGAGGTTGAATTTACAGGTCTGGTCAACCAAGACAACACAGAGAGTAGGAGTACCTCGCTGAGATTTGCTTTGGTGTATCATTTTTCTAACAGAAAGAGTCCACTTTATAAAGACCAACCTTTTTGTTGCTCTTTTTTTTCTTCCCACAGTGCAATTTATAAAGACCTTGGCATGGGTACACAAGCCGCAGGCTGCAGCAGTGAAGTAGAAAGCAAGAATATATGGGCGGCTGAACCACCTCAATGGTCCATTGAAGACATCTAATATGTTATTTGAGAGAGAGAGAGAGAGAGAGAGAGAGAGAGAGAGAGAGAGTAATGAATTTTTCCCATTTTTATTTATTTTGGGGTTCTGAATTTACACCGCATTGTAGCATACAGATAAACTATGAAGTAGAATACAAATTCATAGGAGCAATGCTAAGCAATCTTTTCCAATTTTGGGATCTGAATTTAAACAATAGAGATCGACTATGAATTTTGTAGCTTTGCTCAAGAATTACACAAACTGAATTGAGTAATTTACAACACGTCGACCCGCCAAGATCTTAGAGAACATCAGCATCAGGCACTTGAAATTTCCGTTTCACCACTGCCAAGCCCTGAACATAAAAAAAGAGTGAATTAATCTGAATTGGAATTATCTACAACCCTGTAACAATATTCAATAATATATTATGCTAGAATAAATGTTGGATGATAAATTAATCTTAACATAAATGTTGGAATGATTATGTCTCAGAAAGATCTGTGAATCCTAGAACTGTTGAATGATAACTTAAGGTTCAAAAATAATGCACTCACGAAAATATGCCCCAAATCGCCTGAAGACACAAACACAAACACAATTATCATATGTTTAGACTTTCCTTTTCTTGTCTTCTGTAAAGTTTAGTGAAAGGCCTAAAGGACAGGCAGTTCATAGAAGAAAGACTCTAGGAAAGATAAGAAGATGCAAAAAGCCAGCAAGCACAAACACTTTCAACTAGAAATATTTCCTGACAATGAGCTTGCCCCCAATATTCATGCCCTCCCTACTCCGACAGAGTGGCCTTTGGTTCAATTCCTAATGGAGCAAATAACTGAACTACCCTATGGGTGGTCCCTTGGATCCAGATTACCTAGCGCCATTGCAAGTAAAAAACGCATCTATACCACATGTTATCGGCACAATGTACATTTCAAACCAAATCTAAATCTGATTCAAAGAATAATGACATACCTAAGCTGCACAAATAAATCTACTATCAGATAATTGAGGTTTAAAGAAAATTACCCATTGATGCATATGCTGGTATGCTGACGTAATCAGGACATGAACTACTTGAATATAGCCTGCCATTTGGACTGGTAGATCCAATCAAACAATCCCGAGGCTGCAATAACATCAAACATTTAGAATACGTAAGGAAACCTCTGCGCATAACAAAAGACCATAAACAAGGTGGACCTTGGGATTTGTCCTCCATGTCTATCTCAAATAATCTCAATTATCCAATATGCCTCAAGTAAATAAACTGACAAAGTGCATCACTATTAACCACCACAACAATTGGGTCTGACTCCTCAATCAATCAATCTACAAGAAGTGTTTAATTCTTTGGTTCAATATGATATAGGATCAAAGGTGAATTCTAGATGGGAGTTCTAACCTTGAAATCCTTGTAGAAGCATAGATGAAGTTCCTCCAGAGCACCTTTTTTGCAAAGCAACTTTGGGGTTGTCCGGAAAGCATTCTGAATAGCAGAAACAATGCCTCCAAGAGGATATTTTTCAGTATTTGAAGGTACATATCCTGCTTCATTCAGGACTTTCTGCACACAGGGTAAGGAAACTACCATTACACATCCAATACAAAAATAGATTGACTCCAACGTTAAACCAATTTACAAATAAGAACCACAAATTATGGATATAGCCAAGTGTGGAAAACATGGCAGGTATAGCACCCATGTACAGATTACAATATCTCTGGAACTTACAGTGACATTGTACTTAAAATAGACATTGAGGGTTGTCAAAAAGTAGCTGTATTCATCTCGAGCTACTGGAGAGGAGCAAGTCCCATGCTTCTCTGCAAGAAACAATGAAAAATGAAAAATGAGCAAGACCAACACAGAAATAGGAACTCGTACCTGTGATGCATTCCAAGAAAAAGAAAAGGAGCAAAAGATAAAGATGATTACCCCACTGCCATTGTAATGTTGTGCAATTCAGTCATGAAGGAAAGATAAGAATGAAAAATAGTTAGCTCAAAGTTAGGGTCATAACAAATTTGAGAACAAAATAAGTCCACAACTGATGATTACCTCATGACCCCAAAATGATCCTTTTCCACCATGGCAGGATGATGGTCTACCACAACTTAAAGACGGCCAATATTTCTCTAATGCATCATGCAATGTTGAGATCTACACAATACATAAAGAGAGTGTGGTGAGATACTGCCACTACTAGAGATATATCTCTAAGGGGTAAACAAAGTTGTAACAGCTGAAAATTAATACAAGTCAGATGATGTCTTTATAATAAAAACATGGACAGTGCTGTCTAAGCCTTGTCGAAGATGGCGTGACATGAGTGTTGGTACTTTATTCCGTCAATCAGTACGTTCATTACATAATACATATTAATCATGCGCTTAAATAAAATCTTCTTTTTGGGGTTCCTCATTCCTTTCTGTGAGCTATTTTCTTAAATATCCACCACCCCAAAAACCATGTAGACACGAAATTAAAAATACACACCTCTTTTTCATCAAAGCTTTTCTGTGTGCAACAGGCAGGCCAGGTTCCATCATTGTAGTCAGGCCACAATCCATCTACCATTCACATATTGAATGGGGGTTAGTATATTTCTCATTAAGCAAACAGTCAATGGATAAAATATGGGTTGGCCGACTTTGATCATGAGTGAAATAAAATTTTTTGAAACCCCTTCCTGGATTTTCAGGTTGTGTCCTTTAAGAAAAAGTAACAAGCAATCTTTTTTTCTTTCTTTCTGAAAACGCAAAAACAAAGCTACTCACAAATATGAACATTTTGTGTTTTCTGAACTTCATGTGCAAAATCAACTTATGTCATGCTTTCCATCCTTGCAATATAAAAATATTATATGTTGGTAACTTACGGATTGTAAACACGGTTGGAGAATTTGCGCTGGAATAAGAAAAGCCAAAGTATAAAAATCACCTCAAAATCAATCAACTCAGACCATTAACAGGAAAGTCAACCTAATTAACCAAATTAAAATCAACCAGAACGAAAAAAAGAAAGCAACTTTAAAAACAGAGAGGGAAGAGAGAATGAACCCTCGGCAGCAAGCATTTGATGAACAACAATGGCGGGTGTGTTGACAGAAAGTGCCAGGCCATTGCAGGGCCAAGTTGAAGTAATCGAACTCTCTCTGCCCTCTGCTTCCAATTTCAATTCCGATTCCAGTTTGATTGGCTTCAATCAGACACAACGAAGCTGCTATTATCAATGCTACTGCAGAAGCAAATTGAGCAGAGAAGATAGCCATTTTCAAGGATATGAGGAACTTGTTCAATTTCAGAGGCATCTGGTGTGGTTGGTTTATATGGGCACAACAAGGGTAGATTTGTCATTTGCGTGACGTATGAGAACAGGAAACCCCCAAAAAGGTACGGGTTTCTTCTTCTCCAATAATTGTAACCAGAGTTCGTTTTTTTTGGTTTTTCCTTTTTCGCGGTTTGTTCTGTTTTTTCCGAGTTTCATATAATACAGAAAAACGAAAAACGAAAAACGAAAAATACAAATTATAAATTATTAACTGATTTTTTGTTTTTAACTTTAATTTCATATTCTTTCTTCTTCTGCCTCATATCTCTCCTCTTATCGTCAAAACTAATATTTTATTTCTGGTAAATATCATTTGCAAAGGTTTGTATTTGGAGTTTGGGGAACTTCATGTAATTTAGAATTATCATCCATTTAGGTGTGGAGTTTTATAGTTCACAATTATAAATTCATGTAGTTTTATACAAATCTCTTTTTTTTTTTTAACTCCAAGGATTGATTTACACTAACAATAAGAGTAAAAACTTTGAGGAGGTGAATGTAATGAAATGAGCAGATATAGGCTATCCACTATGCATCCGTGTTTGAATCTCCCTTTTTGTATTCGGTGATATTTGTTATGTTTTCATAAATTTGTTTCGAATGATTTATTAATATCACTTTTGAGGCGTACGTTAATGGGCAGTGATGTTATAAGTCCTATACTCCAATAGGACGTGTCATACTTAACACCCCCTCTTACGGATAAATTATAAAAAGAAAAACAAATCTCATATCCTCACTCAAACAACACAACTATTTCATTGTTGTGTTGCACCTTCGTTTTGAATAAGAACCAACCTCATATCATATGGCAATCATGTGGTGCTAACTATATTGCCATTTCCTCACACTAAATGCATGATGCATCAAGTGTGCCATAGAATGTTTTCTACTTTTTCTCCTCAAAGTTTTTGCCTTTCATCCCAGAACCTCTCACAAAAGCAAAAAGTTTGAACAAGTTTTATTGTGTGAAATATAAATCCAAAAACAGCGCCATATTTTGGTAGTAGTAATAGCGGCGCTCTAAATAACGAACATCCACTCTCCAAAATAAGACCCAAAAAAGATAAAAGAGAAACCCCAAAATCCCAACCAAAGAGGGAAAGAGAGAGAGAGAGCGAAGGCCTGGAAATATAAAAACGAAACCCCTCCAAGTCCAAAGTCCAAACCCTAGTTTAGTTGGATTTATATATATCATTAGATTTAGATATATACATACGCATTACTCCCTCCCTCCCTCCCTCCCTCCCTCCACCACTGTTTTCCACCACCTTCCGAAACTCTAATTTCTCTCTCTCTCGCTCTTTCTCGAAGCTTCTTGATCTGCAAAAGCCGAACTTGACAATTCCAGCTCCACTCCTCCGAACCCCCAAACCCCAGCAGATTGCAAACCCCGCAATTTGCTTCAATTCGCAGGTCAATTTCGCATTCGATAACCCTACACACCTCTTTTTGTTGACGAGCGTTTTGATTGTTTGAGCTGTTTCGTTCAATCACTCAATTGGGTTTTGGAATTTTTTGTATTTGGCAGCTTTTGAAGTGTGGGACTACCGGCTTGGACCAGTGGGCAAAGAGCAGGGAGGAAGAGCTGGAATTACGGTTTTGGCCTCGTGATCTGGGTTACTGCTAGTTCAAGAGCAATTCGGGATCCATGTCAGAGGTCTGCGCTTTGCTTGACCAATCTCCCCCTCTTTTTCTCTCTCAATAGTTCAAAATATTATGTTTGTGATTGTTTCTTTGGGTTTTGAAGTCTATGTAATTGATGCTTCTTCCAAAGACATTTTTGTTGATAATATCAATATTTTAGAGACTTACCCTTTGTTGTTTGTCCAAAGATTTGCGTTGGGTTATCTTAAAAGTTGCTAGATTTCGTCTCATATTTATTGGGTAGTTTCAGTAACAATAGAGATTTGTTGACGGAAAGAGAGAACACAGAAAGGAGAAATCTTTGAAAAATAAAGCTTAGCCTTGTAAGAAATAATTAGCATATTATATTGGGATGGCTAAATGTGGCTACTAACATTCACGAAGTTAAGAAAATATGGCAATCAAATTTGTGTCATTGGTAGTGAAATTGAAACCTCATCACTTACTTAGTTGCTTGCCCTAGTTCAGTTACGACAGTGGTGTTGCTTAGAGTCATTAGTGATAGTCCTAGATTGCTTGCTGATTATCGAATCTGTAGTAGGAAGAACTAAGCAAAAGCTTTGTTGAATTAGTAAGGGAGTATTCTGAGTTCTGTTGGGGTCACCCGCCTGCCTTGCTCAAGAGTCAACATTAATTTCTTCAGTGGTTTCCTTTGAGTTTCTGAAAGCATCCCCTGATTAATTAGTGGCCCTGTTTTATGTGGGGTCCAGAGTAGAGAAATAAGCATTGGAAGCTGGATATTGTTTACTTTGGCTTGCTTATGAAGTATACGATTTAGTATGCGGCCCCGGCCATTTTTGGGCAAAGATATGTGAGGGTGCCCAATATGAATGGAAGTGGTAGGTGTCTTCAGAATTATACAGGAAAATGGATGTCTCTAGCGTCACACAAGAGGCTAGTTATGAAAACCTTGTCCTGAACTTTCAACCACTTTATCTGAATATATACTCAAATATTACTGTAATGTAACGGAGAAACACTGCAAATATGTTACCTTTTTATATTCTGGATTTTATATCTTCTTGCTGTTTCTATGGTTGTCAAAGCTTCCTCATGTTATCTTTTGTCTGTGACATCACAGTTGTTAGCGTCTTTCCACTTCATGAGACATTGACCCATGGATCCTGAAGGAACAAAGTTTGGACAAGGTAGAATGTTGTTTTTAATACGGTGCTTTATCATGGGGTTTCTCCTTTTCCCTTTTTGGTTTAACTTCGTCTATAGTTGTATCTTTTATTTGTAGTGACATATTTAACAAAAGTATTCATAGCTGAAGCACTCTTCAAAACCTCATTTGTTCACGTATAGCACTGAATTTTGAACTTGTCCACCCTTATCCATCTGGTTAATTTCAGAAGCTCAATGGTTCATAACAATTTCCCTGAAACTATACTTATTCCAATCTATTTGACAACACAATTCTTTTGCTTCTATTAGTTTAAGTGTATTTTATTTTATCTGATGAGATGCTGTTGGATATAGGACCAAAAGAGCTGACCGGTGCTGTAGATCTCATAAGTCACTACAAGTTGCTTCCCCACCATGAGTTTTTCTGCAAGCGATCACTTCCTGTATCAATCTCAGACACACACTATCTTCATAATGTGGTGGGAGACACAGAAATTAGAAAAGGAGATGGGATGCAGTTGGATCAACTTATTCAGAGTACATCATATTTCAATAAACCACGCATACAGCCTTTTGACCTAGATATTCTCAGAGAGGCTTTCCATCTTAGAGAAACAGCTCCTATTGATTTGCCACTTGTGAGAATTCTACTTGTAGTTATTCCTATTGCTGTTCCTTTTTATAGTTTCAGAGTTTCTTACTTATATTGGATGACAGTTGTGTGAAGTTTCTTCTTTTCCAATAAATACATGGTCCTGCAAAATTGTTTTCCTTTCCAGGTTCTCATAGTATTTGATATGTTTTTGTCTTCTATAGGCCGATAAGGGGACTCCAACTATTGCAGCGAAATCAAAGAGTGAGTCTAAAGACAAGGAGAAGAAACGCAAAAAGCACAAAGACAGAGACAAAGAGAAGGATAAAGAGCACAAGAAGCACAAACGGCATCATAAAGATCGAAGTAAAGATAAAGACAAGGAGAAGAAAAAGGAGAAAAGTGGGCATCATGAATCGACTGGTGATCACTCGAAGAAACACCATGAAAAGGTTGGAAAATTGTACACTCGTACGATTACATTCCTTTTCTTAAGCACTTGGTAATATTAACAAGAAACAAGAAAATAATGAAAATGAAATTTTGTCCAAATAGCTATATTATTGTCTCAACTGTTGGCCCCCACCCGCTGCCCCTCCCCGTGGGCACTAAAAATAAGCTTCAGGGTAGTTATAAGCTGCTGTTGTTTTTTGACCAATCTAATTACAGTTTTTTTGTTTTACCAGTAACAAATTTAATGTTTATTATTATTTAAATGTAGTTAAATATTCAGAGGGATTTACATGCTTTAGTTTTGGTACTTTGTATAATTTCAGAAAAGGAAACACGATGGAGATGAAGATCTTAATGATGTTCACAGACACAAAAAAAGTAAGGTAATATAGACATGAAACTCTGTTTGGAAGTGAACTTTTGTATGTCCGATCCTTACCTTTATGTTTTACTTGTAATGCACATGATTGTGCCCAGTATTCTTTGTATAGTTCCTTTCCATCCACCTTTAACCAATATCTTTGTTTCTCACTAACTTTTCAGCATAAGAGCGCAAAAATTGATGAAGTGGGTGCAATCAGGGTAGCTGGCTGAAATGATGGGATACTTTAGTAATTTTGTTTTCTTCAATGGTTGTTGTTCATAGTTTCGAGGGGTCTTTCACTTGATTTTGTGTTTCTTGAGGTACACAACTTTACCTTTCCTGTTTATCTAGATTAAGATACTCTGTACTTTTAGTTTCTTCTTAATAAATGATTAAAGATGCACCAATGTCTGCCTTGCCTTGTTTCCATTTTATATCTTACCTCTTCATGCTGATGGTTCAACTCCTCATTTTTCGTCACACTTGATATGGCTTTATGTTTTCTTTGATATTTATCTGTTGAGGTTGGCATGGGAATACGGAAATATAAGTATGCAGGCAAGTTAGAGAATAAGTTAGACGGACATAGTTATTATTTGGAAGTTAGATGTCGTAGTTGAGGTTGGTCAAATGCATTGTACAGTGAAGAATTTATCTATTTCTGACCTTGGGGTAAAGCAGCTAAAGTGATTGGAAAAAAGGCCATTCAGATTAAGTAGGGGTGCAATCTCAAGTTATTATACAACTTATGAAGTTCATTTATTACCTATTGGCCTCCTGCTCGTTGGCTGGGTTATAATATAAGACTATCCAGTAAAATATCTTTTAGAATATTATTATTCTCGAGCCCTATATATGTGTACTCTTCATCTCATCTATATGGTAATAACAATGTTCCTTTTTG